AGAAGAACTGGCTGGACAGCTCCAGGGATCAGGCCAGAGCTGAGGCCCGCGGCGGAGGCCTTGGCCCCCTACCCCCACAGGCCCTGCAGCCTCCAGACCACCCAGCCTTCTACCTCCCTTTAGAGCACCCCGAGAGCCACTGCCTCAGTAGGAGGCACTGAAAAAGCCAGTCTGGGTGGGTGGGCACCTCCTGTCTTAATCCTCCCCCTGCACCAGCCCTGCTGGGAGAACAAGATGAGCTGTGACTTTCCTGGGTCTAGCAGCCAGGAGTCCACCCCGGCAGGGACCCCAGCCCCCAAAGCATTCTCACATAGAGTGAGGACATCACTCAAAATGTGGGAAGGTCAGTGAAATCAGCAGTTTCCTCCTGAATCTCTGCCCTCAAACCTGAGCTAGGCTGCAGCCAGGGGGTCGGGGATGGGGAGGGCAGCTGAAGAGGGCTAAGGAAGCCTCCCATCCCCTCTGCCTTTTCCTCCCTCTTCCCCTACCCGCCCCACAGTGGGCCAGCTGTTCTCCAGCTGCCATAAGCTCCCATCCTAGAAGTAGTCATGTTTTGGGGCAGCAGAGCGGGTAGGGATGGTATCTGCCTCCCCCACCTCCAGCCCAAGGACCCCGCAGGGACCCTGCTAAGCAGCCACACCCTGCCAGGCTGGGGAGGGATTCCCTCCTCCCTGGAACAGGGTCTCAATTTTTACAGGAGGAAGCAATTTGCAGAACCCACTGGGAGGGAGGTGGGGGCCCCTCCACTCTCTTCTCGCTTATTAATGTGTTTCCAATTTGGGAATCGAGGCTTTCTGCCCCTCCTCCCCACACTACTTGGGACAGGGGCTTTCTCAGGGAGCAGAGGAGGTTGGGATAGTCCCAGGTGTCCTTCGGCAAAGCTCAACCGTTGTCACACCCCCTCTCCCTGAAGCAGTATAGCGGGTAGGAGGGTAGAGACTCAGCTCTCAAGCGCCCTGCAGAGAGAAAGCCCAGTTCCCAGACCTCCCTTTACCCTGTCCCTGAGACTGACTAGTCTCATCTGGTCCTGGTCCCAGGGCGGGAAGCTCAGGTATCCAGTGGGAGACAGGCTAGGGGGGCTCCCCGGGTTTCTCAGTTACCATGCCAGACCCCTGGTGCTCTGGGTCACCCACTGGGCTCCCACCAGCCAGTCAGTCAGTGCCCCCACGAGAGCCTCGGTGTCACCTATAAACACACAGGCTTCCTCTGCGCCTCGCCTCTCGCGCGCACATACACAGCTGCGTCACAGCCACTGTCCTGCACATTCACTCTTACCTGCATCTCTCTCCTGTCAGGTTTTTAAAAAAATCTGTATTGTGATAAAATATGCGTAATATCAAGTTTACCATTTTAGCCATTTCTAAGTGTACAATTGAGTGGCATTCAGTGCATTCCTTCTTCCTGTTTTTATCAGTGTCTTTTTCGTGGTCTTCCACATAGAAGCCACATGTGTCAGGGACCACAGGCCCCCAAACGCATCCCACAGAGCCTCCTACACGCCCTGCCTGGCACAGCCCTGGGGGTATCACCTACACTACCCGAGAGTCCCAAACATGCTCAGATAGTGACCACCCACCCACAGCGCCAGGATCAGTCACGCCCCACAGTTTCTCTCACACACGGCATCGCTTTCAGGTGCTCTGTGTCACCCACATGCCACACACCATATTCACGCTCGGCACACACGTCAGATGGGGCCTGCCTTACTGGCACATACATCACACTGACACGGAGTTGGTCGTGCTGTTTTACTCACACGTAGTGTCACACGTAAGTCACACACAGACAAACCTGAGGCCATCTCACATGTGGCGTCACAACGTACAGGCCACAAGTGGTCACACCACGGCATAACACACCACACAGATCACCACTCATCCAGCTTCTCACGAACAGGCACCCGCACGCACACATACACACAGCATCACACGAGCTCGGTGTCCCTTGCATGCAGGTCACTTGAGCATCAGAGCCACACCAGTGTCATCCCCAGGCACACACAGATGACTAGGCAGCTGGCTTCCTTCATCGGCATGTCCAGGGTGATGCCCTGGCACACACAGAACGTCTCCCATGCAGGTTCTCAGGTACACAGGCAGCGCACGCCCGGACACATGAAGAGTCACTGGTTTCTCTTATGGGCGTGTATATGTCACACACACGAATGTCACGAAGTCACAGTTTCTCTCCTGCAGACACCCAGCCCCGCACAAGCCGCTCTGACCAGGGTTCGCTCCCACACACATCCAGCCCCACGTAAGGCAAGTCTCACCCACACAGAATGTCCCCTACGGCTTGCACACATCCAGCGTCACACACAGTTGCACTCTCATTTCCCTCTAACACTTCCTGCCCTTTCAGGCCTGGCAGGGAGCACAGGAAACAATCAGCACTCTAGGAAACCCCAAGGACTGAGGCTTTGGGGATGTGCAGGGGGATGAACCTCTCTGGCCCTAGCCTCAACCTCCTGTGGATTGGGGAAGACAGGCAGAGTCCTCTCCCCGGCAGGGTTCTCCCTGGAGGGAAGCAGCCCCTTCTGCAGACAGCCCAGGGCTAGCACAACACCAGGAGGGGAGGGGAGGGGAGGAGAGGGAAGGCAGGACAAGGCCACAGGGACAGGGCCGAGTGTGATCTGCTGACCTCCCCAGCTCTACCCAGAGGCAGATCCTCAGGGCCACCACTGGGACCCCCCAGCTTCTACAGCCCCCATGTGGGAAGAAGAGGCTGTGACCTCCTAGCCCCTTCATAGAAAGCTGCAGCATTTAGACCCCAGGGCTCCTCTCCTCATCCTGAACGGGGAGGAGGAAGAGGGCAGGACCAACAATTTCCACACTGAGTCCTGGGGCCCCCAGATGTGTGTGGGAGTGGGGCAGGGGGTTGGGCCACCCAAGTGGCCTCTGAACATCCTTCGTGCCATCTAGCCTTGCCAAAACCCATGACCACTTCAGAGGCAAGATCCCCCAATCCACCAAGCCTCCCTGTCCCTTGACACCTGCTGCCCGCCACTTTTTCAGCCCTGTTCACCTGGCTGAGCTACTCCTCAGTCACCCCTTGGTTTGTCCTTGCCTTCTTCCTTGGGCCACTGGATCACTCACCCACCTCTCCAGACCCCACCAGGTTCAGGTTCCATCATGGGAGAAGGAAGGCAAGCTGGGAGACAGACTCTGGGAAGAGCTCAGAGAAAAGGGACCTGAGAAGTCATTCATTCCAAGCAGGGAAACTGAGGCCCAAAGGGGCCTGCCAAGATGCCACAACTGGCTAAAGGTCCAGCTGGGACCAGATCCCTATTTCTTGATCTCCTCTGTTGAGATGTCTCCTCTGATTTTGATATTCCTTCAATTGGCAGAATGTGCCAGAGTCTGCAAACCTTAGGGTGAGTGTGGGAGCAGGGCTCAGGACCCATGCGATGCTCCTGTACATACACTTAATACTCGGCTCTGTCCTGGCAACCACTGACCATTCTAATAAGCCATTCCTCACCCCAGATGCGCTCACTAACATTAATGATGGCTCGATCCCTAGCGGGGTGGGGGAAGACCCAAGAGCTTGGGACTCATACTGGCTCCTACCCTCTCCCTGAGGAGGGGCCATCCAGGGCCCCTGAAGTCACCCTTACTGGACAGCCTTGTCCTGGAAGATCTGTGCACTCCCTGCCCACTGGGTGAGCATAGACAGGGACCCAGAAGACCACAGAACCACATCCTTTAGGGTGTGGCCCCAGGAGAGGGGTCTTGGGGGGCTGCGGCTACAGGAGTCTAGAAGGGAGGGGACATAATTCCCCCAAATCTCCAACTTTTGTGGGGAGCCTTCCCTCCTTGTCCCAGGTGGCCCCAGCACTGGGGTGGAACATGTGTACAGAGAACCAGGCCACAAAAGACTGGATACACAGCCGCCATGGGCACCAGCCCCTCTGAGCTGTGTCCAACCCCTACCCCTATACCCTGTTCTCCCGGACAACAAGTCCAGGCCTGACCTAGTTCTGCCCCTACCTGGAAAGAAGGAAGACACAGAAGGAGATAGCCCCTGAGAAGCCTGCCCCCAAGGCCTCCTTCTCCCTCCCTCACACTGAAAGAATCTCTCAGCCCTGGATCAGGGGCCCTCACCAGGAAAGTTGACAGAGCAGGGTCTCAGTGACACTGCCCCAGGGCCCAGCTAGGCTGGAAAACAGACCCAGACCAGCGCCCCCAGCCCTCCCTCCCCTGGCAGGAATAAAGGGCATGACAGACAATGTAGGGGACCTGGGTAAGAAGCGGGGGACCAACCACCCTTAAACTTTCTCAAGTCTAAACAAGGGCTCTGAGGAAGTGTGACAAAGAAAAGGCCCCAAATCCAGACCCCTCCAAGCCAAGCTCACAGAGCTCATAGATGGAACTCTGAACCCCTCCCGACCAGGCGGCAGAACTGAAGGGAACGTGAGTCCCTGCCACTCAGGAGACACACGCCCCGGGCGCGCGGCTTTGCTCCCAGACACCCTCCACTATCCAGCGCAGCCGCAGGCACCGTGCGCAGAAACCGGCCTGGGCGCAGGGAGGCCGGGCCCGAGGCCTGCGTGGAGCTGAGGCCGGGCGGGCTCCGGGAGCGCGCGGGCCGGGAGTCCAAAGGGCGGCAGGGCCCGGGATTGGGCGCCCCGGATATGAGCTCCCTGGTGGCAGGCAGGCCCTCCACACAGTGCGGCCCCCAGATCCCCGCCCGGACCCCCTAAGCGCGGACGGCGGGACAGGCGACGGCACGGGGGACACGGTCTCCCCGGCTTCCCCACCTCCCCCCGACCGACTCGTCCTCGTCGCGGGGGGGTTGAGAGGGCGGGGGGCGGGGCTTCCCGGAGAGATTTTCCCCCTTCCTTCTAAACTTCCCGGCACCCCGATCCGGGGCTCCAGCTCCGGCTGGACAATAGCTCGGGGACCCAGTCCCCCTCGAGTGTCGCTCCCCCAGCCAGACCAGCCAACCAACCAAACCACCTCTCCCGAGCCTGGCCTCCTCCCGGCGTCCGCCCGGCTTACCTGGTCCGAGCTCGCGGGGGCGCTCCGGCCAGGCCGCTCCGCCGGGCCCGAGGGAGCCTCGAGGGGGGCCGGGGAAGGGGGGTCGTGGGGAGGGGGCTGGCCGGAATGTGCGGAATGAGCCGGGCTGGAGCGGGAGGCGCTGGGCGCGGAGGAGGGAGCGAGCGGGACGGAAAGTTTGTGTTGAGGAGCCGGGGCGGGGGTGGGGGCTGCGGGAAGGAGGGGGCGGGGCGCGCAGGGGGCGGTGCTGGCCGGGAAGGGCGGGGCTGTCCAGCCAGGCTCGGGCCGCCCACCCCAGGGCCTCGCGACCCGGCCACCCCGGCCTGCGCGCCTGGGCGCCCCGCTCCTCGCCCGCCCGTGCGGCGCTGCCTTTCTCCCCCAGCTCGCCGGGCCTCGCCCCGCTCCCGGGTACCCGCCGGAATTTGGGGCTCAGGCCTGGGGCGGGGCCGAGGGCGGGGCTCCCGTCTCGTGGGCAGGGCTCCCGTCGGTGCAGGGGCCGTGGGTGCCGCGTCACGAGGAGCCCGGCGGAGCCGGAGCGCGCTGGCCCCGGGGCTCCGGGCCCCTCTACCCCAGTCCCGAGCTGCCGAGACCGAGCGCCCCTCCCGCTCGCGGGCCTGCCCCCCACTCCCGGGGCCCCACACCCGGCTCCGCCCTGGCGGCTGCGTCCGCCCTGCCAGGACCCGGTTTGTCTGGTTCTCCCCGAGTGGCTCGTTTCTCGAATTTCTTCCCCCTTTCTCCCTCTTCCCCGACCTCCGGGGCCCTCCCTCTCGCCCTGGCTCCCCGGGCCCCCACGGGGGCGTCTCGACGCTGCGCGGCCGCCGAGTTTCGGTAGGACCCGCGACGGGCGCGTGGAGGGGACGCGGGAGCCCCGGGGCCTGGGCGGGAGTGGGGGGGGTTGGGGCTCCCAGCCCGCGCCTCGGACGCCTGCCGCCGCCTTGTTCTCCGCACGCGCTGAGGAACCACCGCTCTGCTTGGCCAAGGACGCGGCTTTATTGGGGTGCCTGGCCCTTGTCCCCCATCACCTACCCCCTCCTCCTAGCCTGCCCCAGCTCCTCGGAGCCCTAGCGCGGTCCCGGGGAGAGGGGAGGTCAAAACAATACTGACTACTGCTCCCGGACAGGAAGTGACTGGGGCGCGGGAGGAGGGGGGCGCCGCGGTGCAGGCGAGCTCCGAGACCAGATGTGCGGCTCCAGCTCCAGATGTTCTTCATCTCCGTCCTACCCGCCGTCCGTCCGGGCTCCTCCTGCCTCGGCCTGTGCCAGGCTGGGGAGCGGACAGAGGTCACCGAGAGGCAGTGATGGGTCAGCCCCGACACAGGAGCAGTCTTCCGCGGGGGTTTTGCTGGAGGGACCCTGCAAGCCTCCGCTGAATCCTTTCCCCCACGCAGACGGGCTCTGGGGGCGCTGAGGGGCTGCTGGGGTCACTCGCAGGCCAGCTTCCCGTCGAAACTGGAGAGGGCGATGGCGAAGGCCTGCAGGGCGCACAGCGGGTACCGGTAGTCTAGGGTGAAGGCGTCCTCCGCCACGCGGCCGAACTGCAGCACGATATAGTCGGCTATGGACACAAGACAGGGGTGGGGGCGGCCCGAGACCTCCTTGGACCCCCATCCTGGCAGACAGTGCCCTCAACCTTGGGGGCAGTCTCTCCCTTGCCTTGGGGCTCCAACCCTCAGCCATCATCTCAGTTACTCAACACCCATCCCGTTTTCCTATCTCACTCCACACCAGCTCCATCTGGCTTCACACTCACACTGTAAGCTCCTGGGGGCAGGGACCCTGCCTTGTCTGCTGCTGCCAAAGGTCATGCCGAGAGCCTGCACCTAATTAACTATAGGACCCTGTCAAATGTATCCAAGCCCAGAACTCTTCCTTCCCAACGTCGTCGCTGTTGCTTCTGGGCACATTCTTTCCTCCTATCCCCAACCCCGAAGTCCCACCCCTTGACTGGCCCCCCCTTCCCCCCGCATCCCCTCCCTCAGCTTCACTGGGCACCTCTCCCCTCTCTGGTCCAGGTTCCCAGCCCCAACCTCAGCACCTCCCCCAGCATCCACAGGAAGTTGCTAAAAATACCCCCAAACTCAGGTGGACCAGGCTCCACCAGAAACATGATCTGGAGAGCAGTCCTACAGCCACAGGACAGGTGGCACTGGGGGCACATCCCTGGGATGCAGTTAGGGGTGGGGGGCTTGCTCAGCATTGGTCCAACCCTGGGAACCCAGAGACCTCTGGGAGATAGGCTTCCATCCCCAAACTTCCTCACCCTAGTGGGAAGGAAGCCTTTCCCCATGGCTTGTAACAGGGACATCTTGTTTCCCTGACTCTTCCATTGTAGTCCTTTGACCTCACTTGAGAGAAGACAGAGTAGGCACTCAAAAATGCTTAATATTCCCTGCCCCTAAAAGGCAGCCATCTTGAAGAGGTTAAGAGCATGGCCACTGGAAATCCAGACTGTCAGCTGTACCTCCTACTAGGATGTGACAGTGGACAAGTTGCTTAACCTCTCTGTGCCTGTTGTCTGCCAAATAGGGATAACAATGGCCCTCTCCAGACAGGGATGTTGAAGGGATTTAATGATTCAGTATCTGTAAAATCCCAAGAACAGTGCTCTGCACATAGTAGGCACTGCATTAAGTTTTGTGAAATAAATTTTGAGAGCCAGTGTAACTTCCTGGAGAAGGAGCTGAGAGACTTTGGGCAAAGGGCTGCCCTCTCTGAGCCTCAGCACCCTCTTTGATCACAGAGGGGTTGGGCTGCCAGTGGTTTTCAAACTAGGAGCCCAACCCTCCCTTCAACACGATCTTATCCAGAATGTCCCTGGATATTCTGCTCTGCTCTGGCCAATGCTGGAATGGGAACCTGGAATGACGAGCCCCAAGACACCCACTTAGAATATCTGAGGCTCCTGAGAGCACAGTGTCAGTGCCACAGGAAAGCGTGACCTTGCAGGATGTCCCAGTTCCTGGGATAGAGGCTGGTGCGTGTGTGTGAGGGGGTGAGGGGAGCTTGAGTGAGGGTCAGCAGGCGTCTTGGGGGTGGCAGAGAAGAGCCAGACCTGGGCTGGTACTCACGGTCATCAGCGTGGACAATCTGGAAGTTCTTGACTGAGGCCTGGGTGACCCGGCCTTGGAAGTTGAGGGTGTAGGAGCCGCTGTCGTCGTTCCAGACAGGTGGCTTGTTGTGCAGTTCGATGAGGCTCTCCAGTGTCTTGTTCTGCCAGCGCACCAGCAGGCCGTCGCTAGCCTGGGGTGCCCCAGGGGAGTAGACAGGGAGAGGACAGTTAGAGATGGCTGAGACGGCTCAGGACTGACCGGAGAAGGGGCCTGGCCATTTATGCATGCTCTTGTACGTGTGTGCAGGGGTGCGGCCTGGACATCCCCATCCATTAGGATATCTGAGAACAGGCTTGGCATCTGTGGTGTCCTTGTGGACGTCCATGAGAATGGGGCTTTGTCTCTGGGATGTCAAAGCGGAGGGCTGGAAAATGGCAAGGGGCATCTATTTGGCACATAGGTGTTCCATGCCACTGGTACCCAAGCGGTCTTAGGAGACGGACACATGCCGGTACCTAATGGCAGGAGGAGCTGATCTCAGACCTACAAGAGGCACACAGTTGAGTTGGAGAGATGGACAGGTAAATTACAGTTAAGAGAAAGTGTACTTGGAGGAGAGTTTCTGAAAGGAATGAGCAGGGTCTGTACGATGTGCCCTTAAGATCTTGCTTTCCTGAGTTTCCTTGTTACCTGCTCACGTTCATGGATTAGAGTGAGTCCACTCAAGATCACCTCCTCCAAGAAGCCTTCCTGACCCCCCCCATCTGATTTAGATGTCTCAGCTCTGAGCTTCCATGACACTTTGCTCTTACCATTCCTCCCACTGTACTGTAATTGGCAGAAGAGAGACCCAAAGCAGCAATGGGCATTTCTTACTGGGCCCAAATAAAGGCAGGAGGTGCTGCCTCTGGGGGATTTGTGTGTTTATTCCAGACATGGGAGGGGCAACTGTGGGGCCCACAGGCTGAGTGAACCCTCAACACTGAGCCTCCCATGGCTGGTTCCCTGCAGATCAGCCTGGGCTGTGACTTTCCAGCAGGGAAGGATGTGTGATCAGCTGACAGGGGTATTATCTTTCATTGTAAATGAGTAAAGTGACATCAGTCTCCTGTGAGGATGGGGCATGCAAGTCACCCAGAGTCTCTGAAATCCTGGACTCATTGGACCTGCAGTGCTAAAGAGCAGAGCACAGGACTGACACGTCTCTCCAGAACATTTCTCCATCTTAACCTGCGCCTCTCACACACGTAAAACCACCTTTGCTTTTAAAAATACAAGTCATGCCAAGGGCAGTGGCTCACACCTGTAATCCCAACACTTTGAGAGGATGAGGCGAGAGGATCATGAGCCCAGGAGTTTGAGACCAGCCTGGGCAACAAAATGAGACCCCAGCTCTCCAAAAAACTGGCCAGGTATGATGGCATGTGCTTAGGGTCTCAGCTACATGAAAGGCTGAGGCTGAGGCAGGAAGGAGCTCTGTCTGGGGCCAGGAGGTCGAGGCTGCAGTGAGCCGTGATCACACCACTGCACTCCAGCCTGGGCTAGAGTGAGACCCAGTCACAAAAAAATAAAAAGCCGGGCACGGTGCCTCATGCCTATAATCCCAGCACTTTGGGAGGCTGAGGCAGGCGGATCACTTGAGGTCAGGCGTTCAAAACCAGCCTGGCCATCGTGGTGAAACCCCATCTCTACGTAAAATACAAAAATTAGCTGGGTGTGGTGGAATGCACCTGTAATCCCAGCTACTCAGGAGGATGAGGCAGGAGAATTTCTTGAACCCAGGAGATAGAGGTTGCAGTGAACTGTGATCACGCCATTGCACTCCAGCCTGGGTGACAGAGGGAGACTCTATCTCAAAAACAAAAACAGGTCATGTCACTCCTCTGCTCAAAACCCTGTTGTAGCTTCCCATTTCTCTCAGAGCAAAAATCAGTTTTACAGGCCCTGTCTACCCCTTACCCTCACTTCTCTGACTTCCTCTCCCTCTAGCCACACTGGCCACCTGGCAGTACCTCCAACCCATCAGGCCTCCTCCTGCCACAGGACCTTTACACTGGCTCTTCCCTCTGCCCAGTTGCTCTTCCCCCAGATACCTGCAGGCTCACTCCCTCACCCTCTCATTGAGGCCCACTCTGACAACCATATTTAATATTGAGTCTATACACACACTTGTCACCTCACTTCCCCTGTTTTGACTTTTTTTCTTTTTAAAAATTCTTTTTTTCTTTTTTTTTTTTTTTTTNTGGAGATAGAGTCTCACTCTGTTGCCAGGCTGGAGTGCAGTTGGTGCGATCTCGGCTCACTGCAACCTCTGCCTCCCAGGTCCCGGTTCAAGCAATTCTCCTGCCTCAGCCTCCTGAGTAGCGGGGATTACAAGCATGTGCCACCATGCCAAGCTAATTTTTGTATTTTTGGTAGAGATGGGGTTTTGTCACATTGGGCAAGCTGGTCTCGAACTCCTGACCTAAGGTGATCTGCCCACCTTGGCCTTCCAAAGTGCTGAGATTACAGGAGTGAGCCACTGCATCTGGCCTGGAGTGCCGTGGTGCAGTCTTGGCTCACTGCAGCCTCTACCTGCTGGCCTCAAGCAATCCTCCCACCTCAGCCTCCCAAATAGCTGGGTCTAGAGGTGTGCAGCCCTGCACCTGGCTAGTTTTTCTATTTTTTTTTTTTCATAGAGACAGGGTTTCACCCTGTTGGCCAGGCTGGTCTCGAACTCCTGGCCTCAAGTGATCCACTGCACCGGCCTGACTTTCTTCTACATAGCACTTACCACCTTCTAGAATGCTCCGTAATTTATTTATTTATCACGATTATTGTCTACTGTCTCTCTCCTCCCACTAGAATGCCAGCTTCAGGGGGCAGATCTGTGTTTTGTCCACTGATGTCTTCCAGGCACCTAGGATAATACTTGGTACTCAATATGTGTGGTCAATGAAGATATGAATGGATGTAATATATGAATTTGATATAAACTCCAAAAACAACCAAAAAGCCTATTGTGGTTTTTCAGTGAATTCAATTACAAAAAGCCCAAATCCGTTCCATGGGTGGCCAGAATGAATTTGTGCTGGAGGGTGATGAATGTGCTCAGGGAATTGGCTATTTCTAAGCTAAGCCCTGACTCGAGAACAAGGCCCTCAGGCCAGGGACCAGGGAGG